TATATATATATATATAGCAGTTGCTGAACATCCGACCCAATTTCTTGGGTTTACGACTACTTATGTTCAACTCCGCAGCCTTGTAATTTTAAACCAATCCAGAAGAGAAGGAAACTCCTGAATCAGTACCCCCAGAGGTATTGATTTGTTATGGGAACATGGAGGAATTTATGACTTGACAGATTTAACGTGCATCAGTCACCATTTAATACAGGGGGAGTCTTCGGCCGGCGGGGATCGAACCCACGAACACTTGAACATAGGCCTAGTGCCCTACCGACCAGGCTATCCTGGCGTACTCTGTTGTTTATGTAAGAATCTCTGTTAACCTTTTTTAAAGCAATATTAAATAAGATGAAAGCCAATGTGTCTCCTTGAACAAACTTTTATTTTTTCCCTTTATTATATGAAACCTTCATAACTTCCAAGTTTTATCCAATTGGTTTTGGTTTCATTTGGAGCAGTTTGAAAACATACAAAGGTAACAATGTGACTTGTTTAAATAGCTATATCAAAGTGTAAATAGATATAATTGGAAAATTGTACTTTCTGCACGTACTTAACAAAATCACTTTCTAGCAATAAAATTATTTGCATAATGAAATAAAACGTTGGGTATCACTTATGCATGTTTATATAGAGGGTTCATTTTAGATCAAATGGACCAAAATAGAATAGAATCACGTAATGCCAGATTTTTATGGAAAAGTATGACATGGGAACAAGATTAATCTATTATAGGTACTGTAGCAGAAATTTTTCGGGCTTTCTGCGACAAACCTCTCTAGCACTAATACCTTTTTGTAAGATACTTTTAATAACAACTAATATACATGTTATAAAATTAAATTTAAAGTAACAGAAATGTTGTATTTACAAAGAAAAGCCCATTTGGATATAATAAAATTATAGGTATTTTTTTTAAAAATCAATTGCAATCATGGGCAATATTCTCACATTTTGTAAGAGGAAAACACACTAATTATTTCTTTTTCTGCATTTCGTAAAACATCATCACATAAAAAAATAACAATAAAAAATCGTAAAATCAATAAAAGAAAAGAAAACCAAATTTTTTAAAAATTTTTCTAAAAAAGGAATAAAAAAAAAATCCAAGCATTTCTTCTCCTCTCATGGCATGAAAAAGGTACCTCTTGACTATAATTGTGGAGGGAAAAAAATCTTTCAAACATTTCTGCAGAAAAGAAATTTTTTGCTTCAATATTCTTTATTTTTCATTCTTCTTAAATAAGAACATTTCTTTTTCCTCCAATGAGCGAAAAAGACATCTTTTAAATATAATATTGGAGAAGAAAAAAAATTTTGCAAGTTTTTGCAGAAAAAAACCCCAAAGTTTTTTACTTTCTAAAGTTAAATTCTTTCAGCAAGAACTCTGTAACGATCTGTGACAATGTTGCCGTGCTGCTGCGATTCTACCATGGGGATTATAGGAATGGAGAATATAGGTAGTGGTGAGGTGGCTTAGCCATCTCAGCTTAAGAAAATACCTTAAAAAAATGAAGAAGAAAAATTACCAAAACAGGTGCTGATCCAGGTTCATTAAGGTATTCTTTTATTCTATCTTCTCTAGTCTCCTAAGAAACGGAAAAGCAGGATTAAAGTGAAATAAATATGCTTTATTTGCAAATTAAAGTTATTGTATTTCAAGGTATAAAATGTGATGCTCTTGCACAGAAAAAATAGTTAAAAATCTGATTGGAAATAAAATAAAGGGAACTCACCCCCATATGTTTACTGTTAGGATCAGCCTCTATGTAATGAGGGTTAATATTAAATGGTACTAATTTCAATGCTTCTAAAGTTGGTGGAAAACAGATGGGCATGTCATTGGTTGTACTAATACTTCTTGTTGCAACATTTGTACCAGCACTAGAACCAATGTAGGGAATACCTTTCTAAAAATGAGGAACAAGTTATTCTATTTTTTTACAATGTAGCTGATTTAGAAATAAATGAAGTGACAATAATAATAAAAATTTAATTTAATAATCAGAGACATATTTGTAATAGTAATTACAGAGTTCTCTCAAAGAATAAAAAAGGGCAGGGAGCTTAATCTCCGGAAAAAGGTATTTAAAGTCGCAAAAATTGATCAATATGTATATTATGTAATAACTAAATTTTATCCTCAAGAATTTTTAAACTACTCTCTTATACTATTTCATGTGTGTATTTCAAAAAGTAATTCTCTCTCATTATCAAAATAAGAGACAAATTTGGAGTATAAAAAAATAATTAAAGGCATGCTAAAAGGCAATCTCTGCATTTTTTCTTTTTAAAAGAATAAACTAACAAAAAATTATTAATTGAGTTTAATTATTAATTAAATAAAGCTAAAGTTTAAATTATTAATTAAATAAATTAATATCCTCCCTTGAAAATATATGTCCAGTTGAGAATAATCCTAACAAAGTAAATATTTGTAATAACATTTAGAACTAAACCTATAAATTCAGATAATTTTACTAGCATGTAATTATTATTTTAACAGTGAATTAATTTTTTTCAAAATGGAACATGAATAAAAAGCCATTGTTTTTAAGGGATAGTGGTTTATTTTTAGAAAAAAGGCAAAGAGAGCACATTTATTGGGATCAAAGGGCAAACAGGATGGGCCGCTCATCAAAAATCGCTTAGGGAGAACACTGTAATTATATATTTAATTCCAACCAGTGTGCATGAACTAGAAGCCCACATCAGTGTTTGACCCAGACTTTACTTCCAGGTGTGCATGCAACAAGATTGTCCTTTTCTATTTTGCTGGCACAGGCCATAAAGTCGATAATGCCAAGTCACCAGACACTAGTATATTCAACAGAATTTGTAAAAAAATTATATATATTTCTTTAGGTGGAAACGCCGACGAAACTTAGTAGCTAGAGCCGGCATAATGGAAAAGTTCGAAGATTTTCTTAAAAAGTCGACCACCAAGAAAAGTCAACCTTGTCCGTGACACTGGCATCGACTGGAATGTAACCTAAAGTATTACAGTAATTTTTGGTAAACACACAGGGTATTTACTACATTTTAGATTTTCAAATTCATGATTAACTCCAAGAATTTTTCATGACTTAACATAGTTACTATTTTCTCCAAAAATAACACAATAGTAAATTAAAAAAAGCATTATAATAACGTTAATTGAAATTATAGGTACAACCAAAATTGTTATATTTATAGTATATATATATACATTTATAGATCTTTATATTTATAGATTTTAAATTTATAAAACAGAGTAAAGAAAGAGTTAATGCAATAAAATTGCTGAAATAAACACAAAAGCAAATATTTTTTCTCTCTTTTCTTTCTGCAGAATTATATTCTAAAGATACTTTTCTTGTTCATCGGAAAGGAAAGAAATACTCCTGATTTTTCTGTTCTTATTTCGGAATAAGAAAAATTCGCCAATGACTGACTTGCTTCAGCTAGAATTTTAAACTGATAAAATAAAAATAAATAAATAACAATAAAAATTCTGAATCACAGAAGTTTATAATATATTTCGCTCTAAAAATGATGTTTTTTCTTTCATTTTTTTAAAGAACACTATAATTTTTAAAGAACATGATAAAAACATTTTATATTTTAATAAAATATGACTGTAGCAGAGATTTTGTTACAAATTCAGATATTCAGAACACCACGAAATGAGGGGAGGGTAAACTCCACTTTAAAAATTAGATTTTTCGCCGACCTAATTCCATGACTTTCTATGAATTAAAAAAAAAATTAAATCAGGACAAATTTTGTTCAATAACGAAAATCATGACTTTCCAGGTGTGCGGATACCCTGTATATAAAGAACTTGCAGAGAATAAAATTTTTGACATTTTGGATTAACTTTAATTTCCATGTTCAGGGAAATTTTAGTTTTGTCTATCAACATATAATGACATGTATCAGTATAAAATTAAGTCTTTAAACTAAGTGGTTTTCAATGAAAATGAATATAATGTATATTTTCTCAAATTATGATTTTTTTTTTACTTGGCAGGTTTTTCCAATAAGCCCTTCAATACATTATATGTTGATGAATAAAAAAGAAACTACAAATTAATTTTGAAAAAATTTATTTTGCCTGAAAAATTAACACTATTTTCTAATGAAATCTTATGTAATATGTTCAAAGCTGAATCTACTCAACTAACTTATTATTGATGTTTCTCCCCTTCATATTAAGATACTTTTTTTTTCTATTTTACTTATATGGCAGCTTTTATTTTTATGTATTTTTAGCAGTGTTTTTTTTTTTATATGTATATAGATCATTGTACCTTTTTTTCTCTTCAAAACAAAATGAGACAACACAAGAACAGTTTTTGATTCTTTATTCTTATATTTTGGGAAATTTTTCCTTTCTCATTTTTATATAGCATTTTTGATGCCCATAGATGATGATACTTCTTGTTAAAAAACTCAATTCTTTTGTATTTGCAATCAAACATAACTACCCTTTAATACTTGTATAGTTAGTCTAAAGTAAGAACTCTCCCAGCCATTCGCCTGGATCTGTGGAGGTGACTATGGTAACGAGGTATAACTATTTCAAGTCACATACCAATGGGTCATGTTGATAAATTTCTCGCACCATTTTTTTTCAAGACAAAATGGGGCAACATAAGTACAAAATTTTATCTCATCCAGATGGAGCAGATAAACCAGTTAGTTGGCAGTAGATGTTTTGTATAGCAACAGCAGGGATATTAACTTGCTCCACTTTATGGGTTATATTTTTCTGGATGGTAGTAAAATTTATGTTTCAATAAAAAAAATTCTTGGATCAACAAATTTGATTTTAAATTATTTTGCATACTATTATGTATGAACAATTCAAAAGCTCATATAAAACACCACAGGGTGAGCATCAGGGTTACAATTATATCAGGGAGAGTCTTTCAAGGTGTCAGCTGATTTATCTAAAATTCTATGATTCTCAGTTTCTAAATCTCTACCACTTTATGAAATCATTAAAGAAAGAGGAGCAGTTCCCATCCCTGCAATTGAACAATCATCATTAAAAAGACACTCTTAAAATATTATAAAGAACAATTTTAAAACTAAGAAGACTATACTTTGAAAACAGCTGTCCTAATGGGTTCGATCAAATCCTTTTCATACAAAGTTTTCAACAACAAAAAAGTATTCCCACCACCTATAAATTGCAAAATTGTTTAATCAGGCTTCAAGTAGTTCAAAAGGCTTGAGTTTTACGTGAAAACAATTTTAAGGCAAATCAGTTATTTAATAAGAAGATTATAATTCTACAAAATATTGTTCCAATAACACATGTTATTTAAATATTAGATAATTTTTTGTTAATGTTTCAGTAATAAAATATTTTTAATTTCTTAGCAAGTTTTTTAAAAAAACATTTTCACTACATTTTGAAAAAATAATGATAGCATGATTCAGTTTAAAAGAATTTTTCTCTCTCTAATTTTTATTGATATTCTCAAGCTTGAATGAATGTGATGTGCAAGTTACAGACTTGCAAGTTTGTTGGTAAGTATGTTCGATTTTTAGTAAAAAAGTGTGGTATTTAGGTATTTATTTTACGAATTATACTTGACTGTGCCCCCTCACCAATACAGTGCCCCCTCCCTTAAATTTTTGCGTGTGTGTGTGTGTGGGGGGGGGGGTTGCACCCTCTACCTTCTTGGGTGGCGCGCCACATGGTCTAACTAAATAGTAGATGAAACAACCACATTAGATAGAAGTGCAATAAACAGAATGTGTTAACAATCAACTACATGCAGTTGTAGCCCTTCCCCCCACTGCGAAGCATTTTTGTTCTTTTGAGCGAGGGATATAATTCTCGGAAAAAGTATTGTCATAGTTTTTTTACCCTTTCCTTTATGAAAAAGTAGATGTGCAATTATAAAAAGAAAGTTTTTCTACAATTCTATCTTCACATATTTTCTTTCCTATTAAAAAAAGAGAAACTTAATTTTGAAAAAATATGATGTGGTTCCTTTATATGGGGTTCCTTTATATTCCCCCTAGACTGTCGGAGCCCGGAAGCAGTGTAGTTACAGCCCTGATAGTTATGTGTTTTATAAAACATAAATATAGTATGTTTGTGAAGTGATCCTCACAATAAAGTGTTTTTTATTCCCTACAAAAAGTGTTTTTTATTCCCTACACAACCAATTAATGAGTTATTTTTACAACAATTTATTCATCGCATACTTATAAATTAACTTCCAGGTGAACAACACGAATGAGCTTACAAAACAATGCAAGTTCTGGAAGTTGTTTTCAGATTGCATAGTGATCCGGGGGGAGCTGTCTACAAAGCAGAAAAAGATGAAGGTATTGGAGTAGATTAGTTTTTTCTCATATAAATATGCAACTTAATATCTTAGCCGCTACATCTCTCCTCTTACTGATTACAATTCTTTGTGGATGTTGCAAAATAAAAATTGAAATTACATTTGCAAGGATCTAAAATCTTTGCAAACACTTAATATTTTTTTAACACTTAATAATCTCGTTAAGTATTTAAGTTAAGTCCCATTAAGTCTCTTCAGTATTTTACAGAGCTTCTGTGATGTCCGTTCACAGATGTTTAAAAATTGCACAGAAAATATATAAAACCAATTAACTTAAATAAAAACTTAATGCAAGTATGCAACAACATGTTTCTCAGTTTGAATCTCCATGCGAAAAAAGATTCCTTATTTATCCTCTAGTGGGTTCTCAGTACAGTATTTCTTCAGTTAGAGGTATGATTCTGACAACTTTCCTCTTTTTGTAACTAAAGAGCCTTCAATATTTTTTTGTTCAAAAAAATTAACTAATAATTTTCTAACTAAAGAAATTTAAATTTGCTTCTTCATTTTGTAAAAACAAAATTTTACTAACCAACAAAGATCCCATCACATTCACTGATTGCTAAACCTGGGTCTGGTTTGTTATGAATGCTTTCAACTTGAAACCCTAATAAAATAGAAATGGAATTTTAAAAAAAATTGATTTCTTAGTTTATAACAACTATTATTATAGTACAAATTAAACAAATACTATTTAACTTATTCTTTTTCTATTAAATATGAATATACAGCCGGAACTCGATATAAGGTCACCCTAAGGGACATTGAAAAAGTGACCTTACAAGCGGGGTGACCTTTTAACCGATTCATTAGCAGTTCGTAGCTAAGCACGTAAATAGTACACATTATAACTTTTTAAAAATGGTAAAACGATCGGCCATAAATTAAATATTTAAGTCAATAAATTTTAACAGAATTAGTAAAGAATTAAAGAAAGTTAGATTTTTAGAAATTTTTTTAATTTAAAATAAAGCTGTTTACAAATTTCCTCAAAGTGTACATACATACATTTACATCTTACCTTATTTAAAATAATCATTTATGCAGGCCTGTCTCGTGTTTGGATTCATTTTTTGAACAATGTTTTCTAGATTTTGTAACTTCTCGAATTGTTCCTCAGCTCCCTCATGGTTTGTAAAAAAATTTCATATGACATTTATTGCATTGAAGGCTTCCATTTGGGTTACAGCTACAGTCTCAGGATCAC